GAAAACTTTCTCAAAATCATCGGGATCGATGATGTGAACCGCAGGTTTGCCGCCAAACAATATGTCGTCCCTTAAAATAGGACCATGCTCCGTGAACAGTCGATTAGTTAGTTTGTAAACTTTGGTAAAACCTTCGGTTTCCTTAAAATATTTAATTGTCGATGTCATGCCAACATCGGGCGATGGAATGTTACGGAATGGTCGCGCTTCAACTTCTGCAGATTTTGCGGGCCTTGGGTCGTCGACAATTTCCCGCTTTACCAAAGGACTGGTCTCTGTTTTTTGCCATCTCCAGGACGAAGTCAGGCATTTTAGATGCCGAGCTTTCGGGAGGAGAAAATTCGCTCGAAGAGAGGCGGCACACGGAGAAAACATATTTTCAATCACCTGATTCCTGAGGGACAGGTTATTAACCTCGCTATTTGCTCCCTCGATCCCCTTGACGACGTGGGACGTAGATTATGTCCTTCTGAAATTTAAAGTTGAAACAGAACCTAAAAGTAGTGCGGTATTGTATTAGCTCCACTGCATGGGATTTGAAGCAAATAATTATTATCAAGCTTATCGTTGATGCATTGTTCGATTGATTTTTCAAGTCTCTGCAGGAGATTTCTGGTACCCAGGCCTTTCTCCAAACTCTACAGAGATCTGCGTGAAGCGTGATTCATATCAGGTGCCGATTACTTTTTCGGCTGCTGTTCATATCCTATGTTTTTGGAGGGGTCCCGTCAGCCAAGGCATAATTCCATGTTAAGGAAAAGCCGAACTAATTTCTACCCGTGTATTTCAGATAAAACTGTTATATTTTCAAGACGCCCTATCACCCCCCCCTGATGCATCAATTACCTTATCCCTGCCCCGCACCCCCCCCCCCAAAAAAAAAAGAAAACCTGGCCTTCCTGATGACTTTTGCCGACCGTCCGTTAGGGAGTACAATTTGTGGGTTGTTCTTGCGTTAAATCTAACACGAACGCCCGTTGGAGCTATCATTGTAGATCCTCCAGTAGGGGTGTGGGGTGAGGGGGGTGGGGGCGGACGTCGCGGCAAAAAATGAAGGAACTACTCAGTTTAATGATTAAATGAGAGCAGAAGGTTTCTTCTAGTATTTCTGACCTGGTCAAAGTTTCCCTTAGTGTGGGTCATAAAAGTGCCGTGCGGAGATACATACAATTTTCTGACACTTTCTGGCGTTTCCTTTCAATCATAAAATAGAATCAACAAGGTTTTTATTCCTTTTTAAAGTGGAACAGCCCCTGTGAATGGTGCTCAATTTCAGCTGCATTTGAAACGCTATTCTAATATAGTTAATAGACATTCAGTAAAGTAAGAAACGCTGTGGACATTTCAACGAAGTCTCGCGACGAGTTTCGCGACGAATTTTAGCGATTGGCACGCGCTCGAATTTCGCTCTTATTACTTCACACTACCAATCAAGACAAACAATTCGCAGTGTTTCTCTGTGTCCCTGTAGGTATGACATGTTTTTTTTGTTTGTTTGTTTGTTTTCATTGATTGTTTTTATTGGCATTCATTTTGTGTATTGAGCATCGTTTTTTTCGTTCTTTTCAGTTTTTAAAATCCCTTTCACGAAGGAAAGTGTCTCACCATTAGACTATAAAGGACAAAGGTCTTTAAAGAAATCTTCAAAAAAAATGTATTTATTTATTAACGATTGCAGAGAATGGATGTCTTTGGGTATATGTAGGACTTTGTCTTAAAACGATCAAGGAAACAGGGGCGATGGCCGAAGAAAAGAGGCAAACATGTTGGCCCATACTTCACACTGAAACCGAGTACGAAAGCCAGCTCATTACAATTCTGTAAAACAGAAATATAAACAAGTCTTGGTGGCAAGAAAGAAGGAAATAAGCGACGGATATATAGATATGAAGTTTGGGCCATCATTTTTGCCGCTTTTCTGCAGCCATTGCCCACTTGTCGAGCTTCTGATACTTCGGAAACTTACAAAATCATCCTGTTTCCTTGACGATATACGCGTCCCTTTTGATTGCAAACAGCAAATCAGTACTACACATTAAAAGCTGAAGACACCCCACGTAATTGTATTTAAAAAGAAGTCCGTACAAAGTTATTTTAGGTGGAATCCGTCCTAAACACTCTGCAAGTTCACTGAAAGTCTTCATTTGCAATTTTTGTTTATCCTCCAACGCCTCGCCTTTATGACTAGGCACCAGTTTTTTCCCGCGTGTCCGCCATTTGTGAATACGGTATATAAGTAAATTATATATGCTATTCACAGCCGGTCTACAAATTTGATCTTGACTGGTCTATCTGGAACAGCAAACAATTTTCGGTATGGCTCCAGTGGTTCGTGGTGATACTCTAAACGGAATCCTTCAAGCAACTGCAAGAGAAAAAATTATAGAATTTAAAAAAAGGGTTCGAAAACGATCGTTATATCGGCCAATCCTAGCTGACGTCACCCTTTACATCCTTGCTCATTAGCATACGAGGTAACCCATAGAAGACGTTGCCATGGATACAAATTTGAATTATACGTTTCTGGGAAACTGCCCACCTACCCCTCCCCTAAGCCAAAATTAACACATACTTCTCACTAAGGGCAAAATGTTGGCTTAGGGAAGGGGTAGGTAGGCAGTTTCCCAGAAACGTGTAATGATCCCAAATTTGTCTCAAAAGTTGAAAGAGCTGGGTAAAGTGAGCAGTTTGCGCAAGTTTCAGCTCTTTGCAGGCAGTTCAAGGAAAGAGCAGCAATCAAACGAACTGCAAAACTGCTGCGTGGCAAAAACGTTAATGAGCTCATACATTCTTTGTAAAGTTAGGGATCTTTCCGAGAGAATTTGTCCGAAAGCAGTTCGACGTCTATTAATACTTACTTAGTTGCAAACTTTACAGAATAATGGTTACTGTTTCTATAAAACCGTTAACCACAAAAACATGCATGATAATACACATACAGGTGTATGCTGCTAGTCACAGCCGGTCCACAAACTTGATTTTAACCGGTTTATCCGGAACGGCAAACAATTTTTGGTACATCTCTAATGGTTCGTGGTGATACTCTAAACGGAATCGTTGAAGCAACTGCAAGAGAAAAAATCATAGAAAAAGGATTGATAATAACTATAAGTACTAAGATGTCTCCTCCCATGACAACCAAGCAACTAGCAAATAAGTGTCCCACCCCCCTTGAATAAGTACCCTACCCCTCTCTCCCTCAATTTTGTTCGTAGTAAGCACATGACAAGGAAACTTCTTTTCTCCTTGATAAAATTTGAAACTATTGCTTCACTGACAGAGATGTAAAGAAACAGCTTTTACAAACCTACGACCCAAACGTGGGAAAAAGAAGGCATGAACTAATCGGACGTACAAGAACGCGATGAGCTCCTTCCCTTGCGTTCTCGTCGTCCTAAATACCAAGTCTAATGTCCGTG